CTTCTAAAGACCCATAAAATCTTTAGTTCTTCACGGTTCTTAAAAACTTTTAGAAGGCCTTAAAGATTTTCACCCCCTCCCCTATTTTTAAAGAAATTAACTTTCTTCACTTCCTCATATTCAGGCCCCGTTTTCAATAACGCTTCCTTAAGATCTTTCTGGGTTTTTATTTGCATTTTGTTCTCTCTTCCACCATGTGCTTGCTTCAAACCCCTCTTACTACCCTCTCGTGCCTTCTTTAAATATGAGGAGTCTGTCTCAGAAAGTTTCAGGGGAGTTGCGTTAAACGTAAAATGTTAAAAAAAGGTCTCAAAGAATTTCGGAAAATTCGATGGAAAAGAGCCAGGAACTTCAGCAAAGTAAAGGAAAACCTAAAGAATTCGTCTGTTTAGTGAAAGATTTGCGTTTCATTAAAAGTTAAAAGTTTCTTTCTTTCGTGCAGTCACCTAAAATTTCATTTGGACCACCCTGCATAATTTTCCAATAGATAAAACACGATCTATGCTGCACAAACAAAACATACACGCTCTTTTACCGTCGCGAGACCGGCAGTAGCTGTTCCGTTTATTCGTCGTCTCTAGTATTTAAAGAAACACCACTTCTACCATAAAATAATTTCATTTATGAATTTTTACCCATCACAACTAGGCAACGGTAGAAACTTGTAACATTTAATAAAAAGAGAACCTTAACAAAAGGCTCAAGTGTACTACGACTGCTTGTATTTTCAACTCGAAGTATTCGGACAACACAGATTTAAGTATTATAAAAAGCGACGAACTGCGTCTCCAACAAGACAACATGGGCTGACTGCCCGCAATTTAGCGTAAACAAATTTCCAAGCTCTTTTACCGTCGCGAAACCAGCAGCAGCAGAAGTCCCGGTTACTCGTTGTTGCACCAAACATCTTCACTTCTTCAAAATGACGCGCGCAATTCCTTATCAGCTGATCAGCAGCAAAACACGTGCGTTAATTATCTACTTCCAATCCCATATTCTAGATTTCAGATTCTAGTTTCCAGTTTTCAGTTAGAAGATACTAGTTTCTAGACTGACTCTAGTTTCTATTTTTCAGGTTCCAGTTCTGAATTCAAATTTAAGCTTCCCAATATCAGTTCACAATCCCAGCTACCAGTTCCCGATTTCTTTTTTCCTTCACTTTCCAGATTCCAGTTTTCATATTCCAGATTCTTGTTTGGTACTCCAGTTTTTAGATTCCAGTCTCCAAAT